AGAGAGAGAGAGAGAAAGAAAGAAAGAGAAAGAGAGAGAGAGAGAGAGAGAGAGAGAGAGAAAGAGAAAGAGAGAGAAAGAGAGCGAGAGAGAGCGAGAGAGAGAGAGAGAGAGAGAAAGAAAGAAAGAAAGAAAGAAAGAAAGAAAGAAAGAGAGAGAGAGAGAGAGATAGAGATAGAGACCGAGAAAGAAAGAACAAGACCAAGAGGGAGAGCAAGAGCGAGCGACGGAGAGAATGAGAGGAGAGTGAAAGGGAGGAGCAAGGATGTAAACTCGTCTTCTCTCTTGTCTTCTTATCTTTCTTTCGCAATAGAAAAACTTATGGACTTGAGAAGTGGAAAGGCAAGAGGCCCTCTCTCTCCCACGGTCTATGCTACTCTCAATGTCTCGCCCTGTCTCAGTCCCTCTCTCCTTCTTCGTAGTTCTAGTTCTTCCTTTTCGTTCCTGGGCGAGGAAAACCCTTGCCCTTAAGCCCGCTGACAGAAAAAAAGAGCGAGCGCGAGAGGGGGCTGGGGAAGAGAGAAGAGTGAGGAGAATCGTGGGAAACAAGTAAGTGTAGACTCCCCTCCCCTTCTCTCCTATGTTCCGGTCTAAACAGAGAAACAGAAAAGGGGAGCCAAGAGGCCCATTTTACAAAACCACTGAAAATCCCTGTGTTTTGGCCTTAAGCGAAACTTTTAAAGGCCAAAAAATGGTCAAAATTCGTGAACATGATGAATTTGAGGGTTTCCAAGGGCGCCAAACTAGCGAAAATCCCTATGTTTTGGCCTTAAGGGAATTACTTGAAGGCCGAAATGGTTAAAATCGCCAAAATGCGCCATTTGAGAGTTTGAAAAAATCACAATACCACTGAAAATCCCTATGTTGTGGCCAGAAGGGAAATTATTAAAGGCCAAAAAAGGTCAACATTCACTTTCTGAGGGTTTGCAAGGGCGCCATACTAGCGGCCTTTAAGGGAATTCCTTGAAGGCCCAAATGATTAACAATCACAAAAATTTGCATTTTCAGACTTTGAAAAAATGATAAAGCCAGCGAAAATCCTTATGTTTTTGCCTTAAGGGGAAGGCCAAATATGATCAAAAATCACGCAAATTATCAATTTGAGGGTTCCCAAGGGCGCCAAACTAGCGAAGATCCCTATGTTTTGGCATTAGAGATTTCCTTCACGACCCAAAATATGGGGGAGGAAAAGTGTTTCAAGTGTTTTAATGATAGGCGGGTCACTTCTGACTTCTGTCGGGTGTCACTTGTGACTTCTCGAGAGGCGACTCGCTTGTGACTTCTCTCTCTCTCTCTCTCTCTCTCTCTCTCTCGGGTGTCACCTGTGACTTCTCTAGCCAGCGAATTTGCAACACCTCTCAGCAAAAATGCATGAAATCACTTATGACTTCTCTGCCTTGGGATCGGGTTTCTCCCTTGCATCTTGGGCTTTCTCGCACGGGTTCGCGGTTTGGGCTCCGGGTTCCGCCGGTCATGGGATTGGGGTCTAGCCTCCGGGTTCAGGGTTTCGGGTTCACGGTTTCGGGTTTACGGTTTTAAGGTTTAGGGTTTTGGGTTTAGGGCCTGGGGTTTAGGGTTTCGGGTTCGGGTTTAGGGTTTTGGGTTGAGGGTTGAGGGTTTAGGGTGTAGGGTTTTCGCGGTTTAGGCTTCGACACCGGCACAGAAGTCACAGGTGACACCCGATAGAAGTCACAGGCGACCCCTCTACCGTTTCAATGGGTTGGGGAAACTCTCTGGAATTCCCGAAACTCATGAAAACACTTGAATCACTCGGGGGGGGGGGGGGGAAGTGTTTCAAGCGTTTTTTGAAACACTTGAAACAGTTTTTTTTTTGGGGGGGGGGGGGGGAGAAAAGTTTCCAGTGTTTCAAGTGTTTGGGGAAACTCTCTGGAGTTCCCGAAACCCATTAAAACACTTGAAGCACTTGAAACACGTGAAGCAGTTTTCTGGGGGGGGGGGGGGGGAATTGTTTCATGTGTTTCAAGTGTTTTGAAACACTTGAAACACTTGAAACACTTGAAACAGTTTTTTGTTTGGGGGGGGCGAAAAGTGTTTCAAGTGTTTCAAGTGTTTTAAAATGCTTGAAACACTTGAAACAGAAAATCGGAAATGTTCTGTTTCAATTACTCTGTGCCTTCGGCAAAGGAGATACCTCACATAGACCCTAAAGGTCCTTGCCACATAGTGTGTATAGCTGTGCTGTTGAAACACTACAAAAATCTAGTCCACAGATGTCATGGAAAAACATCTTGGGTGAGAGTACACATACACATGCACTTGCAGCCAACTCCAGCTCTGAATTTCTGCTGAGAACTTCTAAGCTAAAAGTTTCTGCTGAGAGCTGCCGGGGTGCCCGATGACGCTCGGAGGCGCGGGCCGCGTTGACAACGCCGCAGAAGGGGCACCTGAACATGTGACACCCCCGGTTTCCCCCCGCCCCCCTCTCCCCCCCCCCTCTCCCCCTTTCGACTCGGAAGCGCAACTCTGCTCTGTTGGGGAGGATTCGATTCTGATCAGAACCCGGAGACTTGGCGGGCCTCTCTTCAGGGCAGTGATCAGCTGCCACCCAAAACTTGTGCCGCTCAACGTGGTGCTGGGGTTCCGGCTGAATTCGGAGCTGGCGTGTGGCCTTGGACCGGAGAAGGAGCGAAATTTCACAAACAAAACGAACGCGCACACCCACGCACCAACGCACCCACACACAGACACACAGACACACAGACACACAGACACTCAGACACACAGACACACAGACACCCAGACACACAGACACACAGACGCACAGACGCACAGACACCCAGACCCACAGACACACCCAGACAAACAGACACACAGACACGCACACACGCACACACGCACACACACGCACACGCACACACACACGCGCACACGCGCACACACACACACACACACACACACACCCACCCACCCACCCGCTTGTAAGGCTCATTGTTGCAAAACCGAGAGAATGGGAAATGCAGGTTGGCAAAGTCAAGCAGGTTAGGAATGGAGGTACGGGGCACTCTTCCCACTTTCGGGCAAGTCTAGAATGAGGTCCAAGTCTAAGGTGCACAACGGCACTCTGTTGCTGAGTGAGCTCGATACAGTGAGCGATGTCTTTGACCAGTACGTTGATCACTTGGCCCAGCAGGCTTCTGAAAATTGAATCGTTAGCACTAGATTCACTAGATTTCCTGTCCTGGCCAGCAAAGGCTCGCAATCACTGCAAAACTATGTAAAACAGTTGAGGCCGACCTGACAGCCTGTTTTCCGAACCCGAAAATTTGCCCCCACTATTCTCGCGTGTTCAATCTGCAGTTTGCCTGTTCCCCGCAAATCGCCTCCATTTTTGCCGCGTTGTCAACCTGCATTTGTCCTAGACCTCTTCCTCGAAAAGTGTGCAAAATTGCAGGCAAGATGCTCCTGTAAGAGATGCTTTTTTCTGGGGGAAAAGAATGTGCGGGTCAATTTTTCGTGGATTAAGGGGGCAAAAAAAGGCACACAAAAAAGAAAAGCACAGGAGAAGTGACCTGCGAGGGGAGTGGCTCCGGCCTCGTCCCCCAATGGCCCCATGCCCAACTGCCCAACACTCCAACACTCTGATGCTCAACTCTCAAAGTGCTTTTTTGCCTTGTGATGTGTTTGATGTTAAGTTTCATGCGTTTTTCTTGTTGGCACCAATTTGGGAGAAAGAGAAATGAGAGGGGTCTTGTCTGAGAAGGACGGGATCACTGCACAGCATTCAGGGATTCAGGGTGGATCAAGAATACTTCAGAACAGAAAGCACATCTTATATACAGATGTTCCACACACACGCACCTGGTCTGTGCCGGTCGAGTGCTCTTATTCTAGTGTTGTGGAGGAAGAGGAAACTGGTCAATCAACGGTCAATCCATTAAACCACAGTGCAGCTGTAAAGCCACGCCGTGAGCACACTCTGAGCCGATGCAAAACAAAGCCTCCGGCTCCCAGCCGGCCCTCCTCTCTGGCAGCCTGTCGGGGAGACAAAGAGAGAGAGAGAGAGAGAGAGAGAGAGAGAGAGAGAAGGAAAGAGAAAGAAAGACACTCAATTCCAAGAAGGCGCTGAACTTCAGTCTGACTTCTCTACAGTCTCACCAAGCAAGGCCACCTTCTGACCCCCCATTTCAAAATAATGGGCATTCCTCAGAATTCCTCACCTGCGTTCTTTACACGTTGGCATGGTTCCTTCTGTTTGCTCCGCTCATCTCTGCTCAATATCCCCTCATCTCCCCTCCTTTTGCACCCATTTTGGGCACAGTTGCCCTGCGTGAAAATTGTCCGCAAAACGGGCCGCTAAGTCGCTAAGTGCTACGCGAAGCCTTTTTTTGCGCTGTCAGACATGCGAAGAAGGAGGAGGCGGAAGAGGTCGGAGAGATGAAACAAAGGAAGCGAAACGGGCTCTGAATCAAAAACTGAATCGCACAAGTTCAGTCAACGTCACTTATGCTCGCTCTTTGCTCTCTCTTTGCTGACGGGATCCTGCTGCACTTCTCAAAGTGCGCAGACGCTTCCTCTCTTTTCTCTTCTCTCATCGCACTCTCTGCACTCTGCGCTCCTCCAGGAGCGAGGCCAGGAGCACCTGCGCGCCGCCTGCGGGCCTCTCTCCGAGGAAACAAATACACAAAAACACACAAAACCATTCACAGACAGAGAGAATCACAGAATTGAGCACTTGTAACCTAAAAACCTCCGTGGTCGCGCTCTGTGTGAGAACACAGAGCGCCAGAAGAGTTTCAGGCAGAGCAAATCGCAAATCTCCTCGGCGGCTCTCGGCTCGGCGATTGCCTCAGTAGCACTGCGAGCTCTGCACGCCTTCGACTGATCCTACATGGTCCGACAGTCAGTACGCCTCCAGGTCTACAGCAATGTGCAACATTACAGTACTGTAGTCGTAGAATACTTGCTTTGTCAAACACACACACACACACACACATGTTGTGCATGTCTGCACGATCCGTTTCTTTGCTGCTCTGCTTGGTATGAAATGGTGCCGGGCAACACGGAGAGGGGCTGGCGCTGCTTCTCCGCCCGCACCTGCAGAACTGCTTTTCACTCTGCAGGTCCCTGGGCCGTACATGTATGTGAACTGCGCCAACCTGCCTTCGCGCGTGCCTCATCCTCCTTGCAGTTGGCGTGAAATGGCAGAGGCGGCAGAGGGGTCTCACGGCTCGTGGCGTTGCCTGCACGGTCTGGAAGTCGTTGGCCCTCGCCAAGCGAAGGGCCTCCACTTTACGAGCACATGGCCCTCTGATCAATTGTTCATGGCTCCTCTCTCCTGGCTCCTCTCTCATCCGCTCTGGTGCTCCGCTCTAGTGCTCCGCTCTCTCTCATTCGCAATTGTCGCAATTGCCTCCTCCACGCTCACCCGGGGCTTTGGTGGCTCAGCGGGCCTCTTCGCACCGCGTGAAACTTCGCCGTGGCATGATGCCCCGGAAAACTTTGAAACGAGGAACTGCCAAAACCTCTGAGCTGTTGTTACATGAGTTACATGTGAGGTATACGTGAGTTTCGTGCCACGTAGAGGCGCGCTCCCCGACTCTCCTCAATCGCCGCAATCGGACCCTGCAATAGCGCGTAACACTGTGGAACCCTCGCCTGATGTTCAACACAGCTGTGCGACAGCGTTGAAGGCTGCAACAACCGAGAATGCGCTACGCAGTAGGGGCACTTCAAGAAGTGAAATCGACGAAATCGACCAAATCGACGAAATATCGACATTCACGGGACTTGGTGCAATCGCCAAGTTTGCCAAGTTCACCACCTCTCTGCTGGCAGCGCCGCCCGCAGGCGCTCGGCGAGGCCACTGGTGCCTGAGCTCGGTTCGCAGCGGTCAGCAGCGGTTAGCACGACGGGCGCGGAGGTGCGGAGGTGTGGAGCAGTTCTCTCTGCAACAGTTCTTTGTCACTGCGCCTAGTAGAACAAGCATGATCTGGACACGCGGAATTGGGATGGTATGGGAAAACCTGGGGGCTTCGGGCTTTAAGGGTTTTGGATGAGAGCCGGGGTGAAGTAAATGTCGGCAACAGCTGGGAAACGCGCGGTTGGAACGCAGATCGGTCACGGCTCGGGGGTCGGGGCACTCGGGAGAGCAGGTTCCCCCCCCCCCCCCCCCCCCCTCTGCGGGCCCCAGCTCCCGATGCGGGCCCTCAGCTTGGCATACAGCAACTGCTGAGACTGACAAGCATTCTATCGCGCTACGTAGATGCTAGTAGGACTCTAACATGTCCACTCATGATCACATCCTAACCGGGCCCCGTTGCGTCTCGCAGGATACTGAAAGAAACATGGTAATTACAGCGCGGTCCCTCTGGACATGTACATGGTGCAAGTATACAGCATGGCGGTGCGATTTGGGATGGGTGAGTCCTTCACTTCCCCTGAAGAAATGTGTTTTTGTATTTGTCCGCTTGCCTCCTACGAAAATGTAAATCTCTATGTTGCGTCCTATGCCTTGGACGCCTAATCTAAGAAAAAATGCCTGCATGCATTCCCATTGAGTTCTCAACCTAAAAGAAATGTCTAGATTCGTAGGCTCGTCTTCTATGAAAGCTAGGACCCCTCCCACCCTCCTGAGACCGGGCACCCTCGAAACCTGCCCCCCCCCCCCCCCCCAAAAAAAAAAAAAACCTATTTTGTTGGGCCTTGGGGGGTGGGGGCGTGCGCAGGGATTTGCAATTCGCTTCGGCTTCCTGCCGAAAAGCGTTTGGAGCAAGCAGACCCGGACCCAACCCTTCCCCCACCCAGCGGGACCCCCCCCCCCCCCCCCCCCATCGCTTGGAGGAGCTGCAATCCGATGCCGTTGAGGCGGCGGGTCGTACAGAGGGAGCGCCTCAAAACCCATGAAAACCCCCACCAAACCACCCCAGCCCCCGCACCACACCCCCCAACGCCCCCCCCCTCCCCTCAAACACCCTTCCCCCTTTAAACTCCCTACGACCCCAGAAACCCTCTTTCCTCCTTTCGTGTCCTGGGGCCGGCCCGGCTGCCGAGGCGGCGCGCGCAAGCGTTTATATACAATCCAGTGTGAAAGCTCCGGAGAATCTGGTCTCCATTCCGGGACTTCCCAACAGTGCCAATAGCTATTTGAACACAGATATCTTGGTGCGTTTGAAACGCATGTAGGTGGCTTTACATTCCTTATCATTTGTGGTAGGGGGGAAGGGATGCCTTGCAGGCCGTGGGGAAGGGTGTCCGGCGCAGGGATCCAGCCGGAGGGGTTGGGGGGGGGGGGGGGGGAAAAACCAAAAGAACAAAGCAAAAAACTGTGTTCCCCCCCCCCCCCCCCACCCCGTGCGGCACACTGCGGGAGCCCATGCATAAACAAAAACCTACGGCAACACCAAGCAACAACAATCAAATGAAATCTAACCATGTCTCTTCTTTCCTCGGAATAGGATGGCAATGATGCAGACAAACAAGAAACTGGAACGAAACACAAGTGAAAAAACGCGAGGCCCCACAGCATACCTTGCTGGAAAAAAACGATGATGCATACGGCGGCAGGCCGAAATATGCCATTTTCGCACCGGAAAAAGAAGCTCGCCACGTTCCGGCCCCCCAAATTCGTAATTACCACAACAAATGTATGGCACATCCCCGAAAAACTCTAAGCCTCTAAGCCCGCGGCAGCATGCATGCAGACTGTGGCTCGCAGCTCGAGATGCGTGGGCCTTGCCAGGGCCTGTTGGGGCCTGTTTGTGCAGGCCAGTGATCCTGTGTTTGGGTTGTTTCTGGCCTGGCCTCAGCTGAGCCTCGTCGCTCTGGTCGCCAAAATTTTGCCCCGCAGAGGCAGCATGGGAACTGATCGTTGAAGCGGGGCGAGGAGGACCACCCGTGGGCAGCCGGATCGATGGCGAGATTGAGGAGTGATCAGAGACAGTGATCCAGCGGCGGCAGTGGCATAATTAGCCCAAGAACAGCATCCAGAAGACGAGCTGGCATTGGTTCCTTGAAGGATCCATCGCACGAGGTCAGCGTGACGAGTCTCCAGCGCGCAGGACACACCGCTACTACAACGACAAACGCGCAGGCAAGGCATAGTTACAGATAAAAAACGAACAGTGCATTCTCATTTAATGACGCTCGTCTGCGCCCCCGTTGGCCCCGCCCCGCCGAAACGAAGCCTGCCCCTCCCCGCCTCACCACGAGCGGGGAGCAACCATGAGATCTCCTACTCCAGTGATTTCTTTCTCTCACTGCACGGTGCAATTCGGTGCAATGTGAAGGACTGGTTTCCGTTTTCTTAATAGGTGTGGTGCTCTCAGCTCTCTAGCTGCCCTTTTGCACACAGCTCCGCTGGAAGCGAGATTTCGTGAAAACAAAGTCCAGCACCCCTGAGCCCGACCCGGAAAGGAGGCACGTATGCCACCCCAGGAAGAGGCAACAGAGGATGCCAGCCCAAAAAGCGGAAGACACCCTGGCCCCCGCACAAAGAACAAAGAGTCAGGGTTAAATCGAAACTCCAATGGTCCCCGAGCCCGCGCTCGCACGTTCTCCCGATTCTAAGGAGAAGGGGCCCTTGTTTGGGGGCAAGAAGCACAAGCAAGAAAGGCACAAAAAAAAAAAAGCTTACCAAGAGAAACCTTTTAGGGGGATGCTCGATACTCAGAGGAAAGGCAAGAAGAGGAAAGCTCGCCGGACAGTGAGCTGCACGGACCCATATGCGCTGAGGCTGCTCTAACAGTCTGAGGCCCGACTGAGGACCGAGGCCCGAGCCCACGAAGTCCTCAAGGCGCTTTTCTTGTCTTTGGGGAACCCGGGAACCCTGAACGGCCTCGGGCACAATTGGAACGAATCTAGTATTGAAGTGTCAAGTAGTGTATCGCAAGTTCACACGTGTCACGCTTTGAAGCTCGTGCTTGGTCTCCTCATTAAATCTGCTTGTTCGCTCTTATGCATTTAATAGAGAGGACTTTTCTCTCTGTGTTAATGTGGACTTATTTCTCTTTTGCTTGGAGTCTCATACTTGTTTATACAAGGTCATATAGTTCCATTAGAATTCTATGGAGTGTTGGCCCTCTCTTTTGAGCTCTCTCTCGCTGTCCGGTCTCCTCCAAAGGCACGCCCTCAGCCCAGCGCTGCTCATCCCAGACCTTTCCACAAACAAGCGCGGGGGAACGCGAGAGCAAAATTGATGGAGTGCAACATTCAGAGCATTTCTCCACTCTCGCCGGGTCGTGAGCGACTTCGACCAAGTCGCGCAGCTTGTATACCTTAGAGCAAGCTTTTGAGCGCGCTAATAAGCCCTCTCTCGCTTTTGAGATAGAAAACCTCACAAGGCTCACAACGTGGCGCACGCAACGTGGCCCACTCTGAAAGCCTTCTCTTTTCTGACTGTTTTTGGCTGGTTCCTGGAGGTTCCGGGTCTCCGGCTCCAGCGCTCCGGGCCCGACGACTGGGCGTGCCCGGGGCCGCCAGCTGCGACACGTCGACGGCCTCTTGAAAGAAGAAAAAACAATGACAGAAAAGGGGAGATGAGGACAAGGACAAATTTGAGGACAAATGATCCAGCAACGAAACGCTGAAACGCGAGACCAGGGCATCATTTGGAAGACACCCAGAGAAAACAGGCGCAAAAGACTGAACACTCGGGGTTCGGGATGCAGATGTAAAGGTACGCGCTTTTGCTGGCGCGCTTGTTCGCTGGAGATGATGGCAACGTGTCCTGCAGTGGCTTTGGGGCATCCCTTCGCAGAATTTCGGGGTCAAGAGATGAAATTCGTCCTTTACCCACGCGCCCCTCCCGCCCCCGCCACCCTGGCGCGATCATCGTGTGTCCAGAAGCTCCAGCACTCAGACCACCGTTCTCAGTTCTCTCTCTTCTTCATTCTGCAGGGCTTTGGGATCCACCCCGGATCTAAGCACACGGGTCCGTTTGAGGGCACCTGCTTCTGAGGGCGAAAAGGCCAGCAGAGCTCACAAGTCCAAGAATTTAGCCGCGGAACACACTTGACAGGGCGGTGTGCTTTGTAGCAGACTTGCGTAGGTTAGGTCTGCGGAGCAAGTGCGGCTACCTGACCCTGTTGTGCTTAGCAAGGTTATGAGTATGGTGTGCCCAGGGCACAACAATGATTACATAGGAACTACATCATGGCATAATGCGGTTTGGTAAATACAGTAAATACATGGTATGCTGACTATATGTTTCGTTTAGACTAGATAGATGCCTGAATAACAAAATCCACACCAACAATTTAGGCCACTTAGGTGGGATCAGTTGAACAACATAGTTATTGTGCCAGGCCAAGTCAGCAGGAGAAAAAACACAACACTGAAATTCTACTTTCCTGCTCGCTGGCAGCATGTGTACATGCGCTTCAGCAGGGCATGTTTGCTTCAATTTGTCTAGACCACAAAAAGTCAAATGTGTTGAGCTCGGCTCTCCTTGGTTTGATTTCCTTGTTTTGCAAATGCTCGCCGGCATGTTGTTACGGGTGATGGATGCACCGGAAGCAACGTGGTGAATCTG